AGTCTAGCATTCGCTAAAGGGACTGATGTCCAGTCTAGCATTCGCTAAAGGGACTGATGTCCAGTCTAGCATTCGCTAAAGGGACTGATGTCCAGTCTAGCATTCGCTAAAGGGACTGATGTCCAGTCTAGCATTCGCTAAAGGGACTGATGTCCAGTCTAGCATGCGCTAAAGGGATATTTATCCGGCCTAGCACAATCGTCTCCAGTTCTAATACTGATGAGTGATGATAACGTAGTAGTTGTGGTAAGCTGAAGGGTTAACCGAACCCGCACAATATTGAAAGCTTTTGTTAAAGGTTATACTAGATAGAGATTAGAAATGCCAGGATGATCGAACGGGTTGTTATCTTATTCCCAGATGCTCGGAAAACGCTCGAGGACGAGCGTACGTCAGTATGGCCGTGTCGGCGCCGCCGTCATTATTTTGTAAACTGCGAATGTAATGGGCGAGCAGTGAACAAACAACTGACCGACGTCACTTCAACCCCACCACCGAGTGATATATAAAGCAGCGCAAGCGCAAGCTCGAGTCAGTCGTTCGTCGATCGTTGCCCAGTTCACACGTTACGCAATCGCTGAGTAATTTTATTGTTGGTTTTATTTGAGTGTTTCCTTTATATAATCAGTGCTGAATTATTCAATTATTATAATTAAAAATTAATGTGAAAGTAAGTTCATTTAATCGAAATAAACTAAGTGATTGTGTGAAGCCCTTTGTTTTATTTTCAAATAATGTCGGACCCTGATCCTACATATATAATTTACTCGTTTTCTACTTATAAAAATATTGTTTGGTTAGGGTGTCAGGGTGAGAGAAATCAAATCCATTTTCATTTATTCATATAATATAATCTTACAATAATAAATTTCAGGGAAACAGTATCATACATGAATAAATACAATGCTAGTAAACAATGAACTTTCTTTCTGTATTTTAAGTTAATAAAATTTATTTTAGTAGAAAGAAAGTGTAAACGAATCAACAATGTTACTGATACATGACCGTACCGAATTATATTGATAAAATGATAGGAATGATTTGAATGAATCATTTAACATCAATGATTATATTTTGCAACTCGAAACCGTGAGTATGATGTAACAGTGAGTCGGGGAGATGGTAGTTGACTCAGGCACTAATACTCTAACGGTGATGTGTCCGGTCACATGACTTAATTATCTAGTGAAGGCATCAATAATGTCTTACGACAACGCAAAGTGAAGCATCACGCGTGTACTCGAATCTCACACGTTCAAACATTACACAGAATAACTCCATACCACTAATTCCGCCTAAACTAAATCTAAATGTATCTAGAAAATATTTCATTTACCGCAGAACAACACGGACATAATGCTCTTCTATTTAAATCAGATAATTTCAACTGGCTCATAATATGAATCAAACTCATTATATACATATAACAATATTAATATAGACTGAATTTGCAGTATCTGTTTGTTTCAATCAATTTATTGCACGGCATATAATCTGAATATGTGAAACAATGTCAGTCTACCCATAGATTCTATATCTCACAATTTTTCATAATAAAAAAATGTGATCCTCATTATAACTGCTGATTAGTAACAAAAAATAAAAAATAATAATAATAATGATAAAGATTTTATACTAATTTCTAATTTCAATTGTAATTTTTCGAATATTATTTATTTTAATAAATTTAATTATCTGTGGTGTCGTATCCACTATGTACATATACGTATATTACATGTCGTATGCACCTAGTGGTGGTTTGGTTGCTTACACGTCATTATTTCACACCCGATTATATTTTGCATTGTCTAGTTGACGAGTCTTGATACCGGTTGTGAGATTCCAACGTGTGTAAGCACCACATGACGGACTACTTCTTGGTCTTTCTAATTCTGTGACAACAGCCAACTACTCCAAAGTACACCAAGTATTTTACAATATTACTTTAACTAATTTTAGATACTTGTGGGGATGTAACGAGTAAACTTGTTAGAGTATTTGATGTAGAGAATAGAATTGCATTATTACGATCAACGTAAAGAGAATGTCTTTATAAATAACTAGCTAATGAACGTTTTGAATAGATTTAATGACACCAAGTCTACAACTCGTTACTCGTTACACCTCCACACAATAGGTACATGATTGCTGAACATTTAATATTCGATTAATAATCGCGTAACATATATTAATGTTTAAGTGACCGCTCTAAACAAAGTTAATATTAATCGCAAGCGACAATTTCCATGATATCTATATAACTCTCATACACGATTAAAAAATAAAGCACTTTGTTGTAATGAGAGCTATGTAGCAATCAAATATATTAATATAATTTGTACAGGCTAACAATAATCCTCTGACGTATCGGCCCGACGGCTACACTACGCGTAACTTTTTATAATTTATACTCTATGCACTTTCGACCGTCATCATAATACTTTTTTTACATGGGACGCAAAGGAAACACTATAACGTTAGGCCTCGGCGTATAGAAAAATAACCCGCACTTTGAGTAGAAAACTTAGGCTAGTTCATAAGTCCTACGCGAAGCCGGCAGGGGGCGGTCGCGAGCGCATAGAGGACGCGGCGGCTTACGGCGAGATACTTTACTATACCGCACTAACATACGCCTGCACTCACGCGACACTGCGGCCGTCGCGACACCACTGGACAAATGGAGTGACTACATGGTTCGTATCGTAAATACTGAGGCTGTAGGAGACATCGTTTGTCATTGGATAATATCAACATCGCGACAAACGGTTTAGTTCCGAGTTACGACTGTTTAGTTTAAGTGTATGTAGACACTTCATTTATGTTGTTGATGCACTAGTGGCGCAGGTAGTCGCGCGGTCGCTCGGCGCCAGCTCAGTAGTGTGTGAGCCCCCAGCCGCGAGGGGCGCCGGCGCCCTACATGCCGTACCCGTGGTAGGGCGCCGGGGACGGAGCCTGCGCCGCGTACGCGTACGGAGAAGGTTGCGCTGCTACTCCCGCGTACGGCATCGATGGACCTGCGTAAAAAAGTATACATTACTAGACCTGTAATGATGGATGCAATATTTTCTTATGCCAAGTTACTTAGGGTTATTGAAAATAAGTCTGTTTGTCTGCATTTTCTATGGGCAATCATCTGTTTTATTTTAAATCATTCCTCATTCCATGGTTAATTTATCCATCTTTTCTGTGGAATTCTCTTGCTTGCCATCCATGGAAAAGAACTTGGTCAATGAAATCGCAAGAACAATCAATGTAAAACCGAATTATATCCTACACAACCCCAAATACCTGTCCTAGCTATCAGCAACATATATGTATTACAACAAAGTAGAGGAAGAAAGTGTAGGTGGGTGTAACATACCGGCAGTGAGCATAAGTTGTGGTTCCATGATCATGGCAGGTTTAGCTTCATGCTCGGCGCTCTCAGTGCTGCGCTTGGCGTCCGCCTCCTCCAGCTTCTCTACCTTCGTTGTTAGCTCGCGGACAGTCTGGAAAAAGGTAGTTTTCGATAACTCATATAAGCTATTAAACTTCTTTTACGAATAAAGTAGTAGTCTCTTTTAAAATAGAAATCGTGACAATTCAAATCCAAATCTGGCGATCTATGCCAAATAAAACATAATAATAATAGTAGTAGTATATTACCTGGATAAGGAATGGCATGGCGAAGTCCATGATGTTATGTCTCCACGCCAACTCGATGACCACGTCAGGTTTCAGCAGGTCGTAACACTACAGAAAATAATCACATAATTAGAAAATAATGTACCTATATTATTCAATTTGTAATGGGAGGTATTATTTTGTGTACAAAAATCACAACATTTCAGTAAACAAACTTATTTAACTTATTGCATTTAGGTTTAAAAACTATTTCAAGACCATTATAATTTACTTATAAATACATAACATAGTTATGAATATTCCTCCATATTAGCACGTTTATAAGTTAGACCCTAATAATAAATTCATTGTAAGCACGTACCTGGTAGAGGCAAGCAGAGAAGCACTCATAGTTATCTCTCTCCAGGAACCAGTTGAGCAGTTCCTCCGCAACTTCAGCGGAGCGCGACTCTGACGCGTACTCCATAGCGTCCGCGTACAGCGCGTCTTTCTTGCACAGCTCCACGCTCTGCTTCCATCTGTTGTTACCTGGAGATATGAGAGTAAAAGTAAGGCATATGTCTTTGGAATATATTAGACTTTAGTTTCGATGTTAATATGTGCATAGGGACCTGAATCTAGTCACTAGATGTGCATAAGCGTTTAAGTTAAGGATACACTAGGAGACTGATGTTCCAAGACATATATCGGGGACATGTCCAGCGAAGTCGCCCGATGTCGCCTAACGTATAAGGTGACAACGGGCGACTTAGGGTCAATTTATACTAGGGCAGAGTCGAAACGCACCGATGCGTCAAATTCTTCACAACTAAATAATAGCCGCACGAATGCGCGCGTATTCAAGGGTACAAGCGCGAGTGGTAGGTAATGGGCGTTAACTGCATGGATTAAATAGGCATTCATATTTTTGCACCAGGTAAATACATTTTTCGTCCGAATCCATCGTGTACAACACTGACGCAGGCCAAATGCCAACTGATGACGCGTCGTAGGTTCGCTAGTGGGCGCGTGTATACGCGAGAATGCGCGCTTTTCCTTGCGTTCGCGCGCGTCTTTTTAAAATCTCAAAAGCAAAGCGTGCGTTACGCTGTTGGGTTAAGGTTGAATTTGTTATGTTCAGTTTTGAATAGACGCTTCGATGTGCTTCGACTCTGCCCTAGTATAAATTGACCCTTACGTCCATAGTGACGTTAATATTGCCAGATATGTCGACCAAAGTCTGGCAATGTCATTTGTCCCCTAGATTATCCTTGACTTTATACGCGAATACAGTCCTATCTAGTGCACAGCTAGACATAGTGTATCTTTGGTCACTACTTGTGTATGGATATTATATTATACCTTTGTATAAGTAGGCGGCGATTCTTCTGAACTCGGTGAGTTCGTGTTTCTCGAGCTGCTGTGCTAGCGCGATCGTGTCGAAGTTGTCGAACGCGTCTATCGATGTTCGTAGACCCTGTAATATTAACGAAATGGAAATGGAATTATATGAAATTTAGATGACGCTAAAGTCCACTTTAGAGTGTAAGTGTTTAGGATTATGGTCCAGGCATCGAACTTAGAACAATTATTTTGTATAAAAGTAATAACATTTGAGAGTTATTTTAATTTAAAATTTATTTTTATGTAGTTATAAAACTTCTTTCGTATTAAATTGCCGTTATGGAATGGGAACATACCTGGTAATCTTCCTCATCAATAAGCAAGGAGTTGAGTGCCTCATTGACAGCCTTGTTGTTCAAGCTCTGCACGGAGCGGAGGTATGCCTTCACGAGCTGGAGATGTCCAGCTTTGGTGAAGAATGTGACGGCTCTGGTATGGTCCATGCGAGGAGCCAGGACTAGAAGTAGATCATTCAGCAGGAGAGGCTTGTAGTCTAGGTAGAATTGGATAGCTCTGTAGTAGAGTTCCATGTTTGCAACCTGAGGAAAAGTTTCGGTATTATTATTTGTCCATTTCACATCAACAGATCATGACAGTATACACTGGATAACGAACCAGATGGACCTCCTTCACATAAAAGGGTTTGCTATTTCCTCGTGGGTGTTGGCAATCACCATTCAAAAGGTTCAGGTTTATCATAGAACTGCTGCCGAATCTCCTGTTAAATATGATATGCCTTAGGGCTCGTATACAAAACTGCGATGCAATGCGATGCGAATTGCTGAGATGCAATTTCGTGCGACAATGCATCTCCCAAGGTGACCATTCCTTCGACGACCGTCAACCGTACTGAACGTATTTTAATTATAAACTAGGTCGTGACATGGATCGTAAAAAGAAGTGTGCACTGCTGTTATTGTTTAGATACAGGAAAAAGGAACAAAGAAGATTTTGGGAAGATAAGATTTTGATGCGCGATGTGAATCAATTTGCGAGATCTTGCGATGCGTAGGGAGCTCGCACATTTTTGTGTACGAGCCCTTAAGTGTAAGACCCTATTTATTTATTTATTTATTTATCTATTTATGCACAACACACAGACAGTACACAGGAGACCATATATAAATATTTTGGAGGTACATAGGTACTACATATTCCCGAAGGAATCTCTTCCTGCAGTCCTTCGACAGGAAAAACGGTAAAAAAAGAGACACTGTGCGTAACACGACATGAAATGTGTTAAATAAATAGATCACAATAAAATACATAGACCTATACATACATATGATAGATACACATCAAATAATACACATATTAGAGTATATTACAAATAAACATATTATACATATATATATATATGACACTAATTTGAACAAGATGAGGAAAGGTAGTGCTCCCTTACGAGTCTTTTAAAGATTGGGATGGATTTAGAATCACGGATATTAGGTGGTAGGGAATTCCAAAGTCGCACTGCATGAACAGTGAAGGAATAGGTGTAAAAATCAGTATTGTGTGAGACAACAGAACGATTAGATTTAAGATGAGATCGGGAAAGAGCCTCAGGAGGGCGGGCAAAGGAAAAACGTTCACGAAGGTAAGAGGGATAATCGGGATTAAAAAGTATGTTGAAAAGAAGACATAAGATGCGAGTGTTCCTGTGAAGTCGGATTGGGAGCCACTTGAGTCTTTTGCGAAATTCAGAGATATGATCGTACTTTTTTAAACCAAAGGCAAAGCGTATACAGACATTTTGCAAGCGCTCAAGTTTATTTAGAAGCTCCTCCGTGGCATCCAAATAGCAAGCATCAGCGTAGTCGATCAATGGACGGATCAGAGACTGCATAAGGTTGATCCTCGTTTTCAGAGGTAGAAGAGACTGGAGACGCTTCAGCGAATGCAAAGAGAAATGAACTTTACGACTGATCTCGTTCACCTGTTCACCCCACGAAAGGTTAGAATTAATAAACACGCCCAGATTCTTGGCAACATCAGTGTAAGGGATAACATTGCCATTTAGGATCAAAGGATCAAGGGCAGAGATGCTCAATGCGTTGCGGTAAAACCTACCACCAATTATCATAGCCTTGGACTTGAGGGGGTTGATTTGCAGGCCAAAGGATTTGGCCCACTCGTCGACCCCACCCAGGTCACGGTTCATGGCTTCAATTGCAGAGTCGACCTCTGACAGCTTGAAATGACGGTAAAGCTGCAAGTCGTCTGCGTAGAGGTGGAAATTAGAAGTGATAACCATGGCAACGGTGTTAATAAAAATGGAAAAAAGAACTGGAGAAAGGACACCACCCTGAGGCACGCCAGCAGCGAGGTCACACCAATCGGAAAAGGTATCCTCTAGGCGAACCCGCTGACGGCGGCCCCGGAGATAGGAGTTGAACCAGGATAAGGAAGAAGAGGAGAAATTGTTGGACTTAAGAATACCCAACAGGACATCAAAATCTACGGAATTGAAGGCGGAACTGAAGTCCAACAGAACAAGAAGAGTGAGAGATTTATTATCCATGGCCCAGCGAATGTCATCTGTAACTTTGAGCAAAGCTGTGACGGTGCTGTGACCAGGACGAAAACCTGACTGGAAGGAGGAAATGAGATTATTACTGGATAGATAGGCCGTTAGTTGTTTGTGAACAATATGTTCCATGACCTTGGAGAGAAAAGGGAGAATAGAAATAGGTCTATAGTGAGAGGGAACAGAAGGTTTGGATATTTTAGGCAGGGGAATAACGTGAGCCATTTTCCAGGCAGTAGGGAAAGAACAGGAAAATAAGGAGAAATTAAAAATGTGGGTAAGAATAGGAGTGAGGAGATGAAGAATAGGGATAAACATACGAGAGCATAGATTATCACTGCCCACCGCTGAGGATTTCACTGCCAACATGGACTTTCTCACGTCATCATCAGTGACACTGCTAAGGACGAACGGAGAACAGGGAGGAAGTGGTAAACTAGAAAGATTGGATAGGGTGACAGATTTAATGGAGCCGTCGAGTGATACCGGAGAGAGTGAGAAGTGATCGTTTAGAACCGCAAGGTCTACGTCGTTGGCATCGGAAACAGGTGATTTACCAATGCCCACAGATCGCAAGAACCTCCAAACGTCGCTTGAATTGTGCTTCTCCAGGTTCTCCTCAAAATAGCGCCTCCTAGCATCTCTACACAGACGACTGCATCGGTTCCGCAGCATTTTGAAATTCGCTAGATTTTCAGCGGAAGGTCTGCGCTTAAGTTTTTGTTTCGCCCTGTCCCTACGACCCATGGCATGTTTAATTACAGAAGTAACCCACGGAGCTGGGTCGTGTTTAATCCTCACACGACGCACCGGTGCGTGTTTATCATACCCTACGTCTTACGAACGGAAAACTTGTGACAAATTTATCCTACTATGCCGTCAAATAAACGGGAGTTGTTCTCTTCGTAGAATCTAAACTGCAACACGGCAAGGTTATGAAAACTGTGACGATGGGTGCAGATTACGTTAAACAGTGTAGTGCCGGGTACTGTCACCAAAATAGACAGTATGTCGCTAACCACGAATTGACGTCGCAAAAACAGATGTGAGTATGTTGTTAATACCTTGGTGATGATATCCTTGAAGTGTCCCTCGCGCCACGCCTCGGTGGGATGCTGCATCATGGTGAGTGCCGCGTTGTCGTACTCCTCGTACTTGTCGTACAGGAACACTAGCTCAGACCACAGGTGGGCTTGTTCCGCTGCACGGAGAACCTGAGGGCGAAGCGAAGATTTAGTATTTAGATTTCTGCCATGCTTTGCCAATGCGTAGACTCGATTAGAGCGACACCATGGCCTCATAGAAAAAAAAAATCGGCGGGAAACAACGTTGTATTTAGCAGTAGATTTGTTTAGAGTTCTAGACAGTGTTAAAATAAGATGAGTTACGAATGTATGCAGATTCTGGCCTAAAGTTTAATTATACAAACGGCACCTGTGTATGGGTGTACTGTTACAACCGTTAAGCTAGAATCACCTGATATTGACTCATTTGACTCAATCGCTTAAAGTGGAGTCAGTCAGTCTTGAGAAGACATAATATTCTAATAACAAATTCTGTCCTCTTATTATAATCAATATCACTACATTACATAATACACAAATGTTCTTTACCTTAGGAATATTAACTCGTGACCAGAACAGTTCGAGATGCTCCCTCATCTTGGCAGGCTTGTATTTGGAGTACAGTATGGCGAGCTCTGTGAACATTCCCATGTGAGCGCGTTCTAATCCTAAAGCGGCTTCTAACAGACTGATCAGCTCGTCGAAGTGGCCGCGATCCTGGAGAAAAAGAGGGATTTTACTTCATATTGTAGATTATTCAGATTGGATTTGTAGATTATTCAGATTGGATGTTGAAACTGTCTTAGTGGTCAAATTACTTGTTCCAAGTGTCTGCCAATTCATTCCAAAAAAACTACTAAATAGTTATCATACATTCAATTTAGGATTACATAGAAAATACATTACTGATGATATTTTATTGATATGCTGTTCATGAACCATAAAACAGCATTGACGAAAAGGTTGTATAAATAGTGACGGTACTAATTATGACGATAGAAGTAAGAAGCCTTATTGCACTATCTTTGGCCAATATCCCAACAGCCTTCAATATTTTACGGAATCAAGACTAAAAATGTCGTAGTAAGTTAATATTACAAACCTGGTAGTAATTGATGAGGTCCTCGAGTTCGTCAGCGTGTACAACAATGTGTAGTCCACACATCTGCGCCAGTCGGAACTCTCCCGCGTCGACGCAGGCGAAGCAAACCTCCTTCCATGTACGTGTCGAGTTCGCTTTGCGGGCACTGTCGACCGCACCTGAAGATAATTTCAAATGATACCATGAATATTATGTAAATGGAATCCTTGGATTTTCTAAAGTTCCTAATATTTTTTCTACTGTTTCCGCATATTGAAGAAAAATGAATACAAGAAGTCTTTGTTAGACTAATTTGAGTTGGAATCAAGACAGTCTTTTAAGTTATATGATTGTTGTTGAGCTAATTAGGTGTTACCCTTGACCACAGAAATTTTCAGTGAGATTTTAATTGTCTCTAGATTTTGTAATTGTCAGGCGTGAAAACACTATTAACCGGTCCCACCTGTATTTTATACTTTTTACTATGGGACTAGTATCATAACTGGCCGGGAGTGTAAATTATGTATTTGTACTCCTGGTTAGCAGTGATAACCAATACTAATAATGATAATGTCCTATACCAATTTCTTTCTTACTATTACCCAATTATGTATATGTAGTGATAAAACCTTTAACTCACCCTGGAACTCCTTCAAATGTACAAGCGTGATGGCGAGACGTGCGAAGTTGCTGACATTATTGTAGAGGAGCTTGGCAGCGTTGTACATCTTGTCGTCGAAGCATCGGTCTCCAATCTTCTGTATGTCTGCGTGGTTGGGGCCCGAGATGAACTCTTCCAAGTCTGCTAGACGGCCAGTGCGGGCGTATGCGTAGATCAATTCTGATTCGATGTAGGATTCGCGCGCCTTCTTGCGTGCCATCTGTGGGGGGAGGGAAAAGTGGTGTAGATTTGTTTTTTGTGTAATTTTTGATAATCTGAAGGCAGATTTGGTTTTAAAGAAGTTGCACTAAATTAGTAAGAAGATTATCAACATCTTTGATTACTGGTATTATGACTATAGTCTTGTCTATTGTTCTGAAGCCTTTTTTTTTATAATTTTTTTTTTAAGGGGGGATAATCATCGAATGACTGCTCCCGCCTGGGTGAGGCGGAAGGGAGTGTCAGACTCTTAATGACTAAAAACCACCCCGTTCCTTCTCCTGCACGTCGAGCCGGAGCCTCGGTTACCCGTTAGGTTCTCCGCGACTGTTCTGAAGCCTTAGGACGAGTTTGTTCTACGTTTAAAGTAATCGAAACGAGACCGCGTTCGGCAGTCTGGTTGGCCGGCTCCAATGAACTAACCAATCAAAGCGCCGAACGCGGTCTCGTTCTGAGAATCAGGAGTTATTTCGTTACATATATTTAACTCATTTCTATTGTAAAATAGTAACCAAGGTCCTCTTAATGATGATTATAGTGTCTAGAGGTAACAAAATGACTTGTTTCCATATCTATAATATTAGTTGGGATGCTAACCAGACAGATATATTAAATTCCCATACTCTATTTCTTTTTTGATTACTTTATATCCTCTTCTATGACTTTTTAATAAATAAAAAAATGCTACAAACCTGCAAATACCGCACGAGATCCTCCCAGGACTCCCTGTTAGTGGCAGTGGCGACTACATCCATGTAAGCTGAAGGGTCATCTGCCTTGATGTATGAGTCGATGGCTTCCTTCACGAGTCCCTGTTGTAGCTGTGCCTTGGCCAGTTGTGACCAGACACCTGGCTCATTGCAACGCTCGGCGAACTCGTACGCACGTTCCAGGTCTTTCACTTGTTCTATCAACACCTGGAAGGGTAGAAGGTTGTTTTAGAGCATGTTGCAAAACAGTTTGATGATGCATTTTTTAGATTCATATTCGAAAATCGTGATGTTTCATAATACATCACAAGAACAGGTCAAGCAGGTAATAGAGGGGCACATATTGATGCAACATCTTTGTCAGTTTTGAGCTATCATAAAGGCTTATCGCCAGCACACCAGTGATAATCAAGACTATGAAATACTTTAAAACTCAAACATGAAATGATTTACAGCAGATTCAAAGATAGTTTTTCGACTGAAAAAATTCTCGCAAATTTTTTTGCACTTTTATAATGAGCTGTGCATAACGCATAGCTCTCTAACTTTCCTTATCTCTATATGAGCTACACTTTAATTTCAAATTATCCCCTTATAGAATCTGTCCTTACCTGAATAGCAGAAGTATTGACATCAAACTTCTTGAAGATTGCGAAGGCTTCCTCATAGAGTTCATTATTGATGGCGATGTTAGCGATGTCGGGCGCATCGTAGTTGTCGAGGCGGTTGATGTACTCCATCACACGGCTGCGGTCCGCCTTTATTGCTGGGGGATAAAGTTGAAGGTTGAATGGCAAGTTTGAAGTTCAAAATATGGATATGTTAATTAGGTTGCGTAAGTTTTCTGTGAAATATTATCAGTATAACGTGTGCAGTAATGTTGTAAAATAAAAAAAAGTTCTAATTTGATATTGCGTAAAGTTACATAAATCAGTGCAAAATGCGTTGACTTCTGCGTTATACAACACTTTTACCCTAAAACCCTAAGCCCTGAGCGTAGGTCGTAATGAAATAGTTATGTGAGTTAGTCGTAAAACAATTAAATCAGTTAAAGTGTGTGGAAAATCAATCACATTTACGAAACAACTTGTATTCTGATCAATCCCCAAGCGGTGACCACTAACTCCATTATAGACCTTATTTCCGACAGTTAGACTTACTTTTGTATGAGCAAATTTTGAGTATTTTCGATACAATATATCAAGTCACTAATCATAATCACCAGTTAGTAAATTCTCAGTAACTTACCAGTAAGAATAAGTAAGTTCTGCAGGTTCCTGTGGTCGGAGAACACAGAGTTGTCGAGCACAATCTTCTCTAACAACTCAATCAACTCATTGGGCAGGTCCGCAGTCATGAATGCTTTTACAGTCACCGAGATATCTTCTGGGTCTTGCGTTTCAGAGAGAGCTGTTTGGACCACCTGGAAAAGATATTATGAGTTGTTAATATTATGTCATATAATATTTTCCTGCCCATGCTGCTTAAGTTTTTTAATAGACGTAAGTATTTATTTAAAACAAAACTGTAAGAAAAAGCCCTGAGAATGGAACTAAAGATTGCCTTTTTAGCAATTGCGCTTGCAAGTAAGCATGCTCTTAATTAGTGTTGAGAGCAAAAAGTGTTTCCATAACCCTTTTAAATATCATTCTGTCTCAAGTCTCAAGTCTGTTGAAAACAATTCAGTTAGCATCAAAATGTAGCTATGTTATATAATTCACTTGGTTCAAATGTCATTTGCGGACCCCGAAAAGTTCTTGATCTTTACAATTTTGTTTTTTGTCCCTTGTAAGAGATATTTTTGTCAAATTACCTGGTCGATAAGCTGCCTCTTGAAGGGGTTAGATTCAGCCAATACTTCGAGCCATAGGTCAGGGTCCCGCCGCCGGACAAGGTACCGCGCCTGAGTCTTGAACAGAGAGTTGTCGTTGCAGACGGCGATGAGTTCCCGGTCGCACTGTCCGCGCTCGTACGCCACGCAGGCGAGGTGCGGGTCGCGTTTCTCGCAGTAACGACCTACTACGCGGGAGTCGTACCTGGGAGGGTCAATGTCATGGAAGTGTTACCATTATACTTTGTTACCTTCTCTTTACATAACATAAAATTACGGCTATTATACCCGAAGGAGTAAGCAGAGGCATTACGACAATTAATGCCACTGTACACTGTAACACAAATTTTTCACTATTTTTATGTTACAAATCCCATGTAATAGGACGTGAGCATATGTATTGCTATATACCGAGTATTCCTTCTTTCTATATAAGATTTCTTTTTTTTGTGTGTGTTATTGTACTTTGTGACGGTGCGCAAATAAACCATTTTTCTTTCTTTCTTTCTTTCTTTCTATAATTTACTATAATAGGTAATGTCTACGCTTAATAAGAGAGTGGTGAAAGCCATTTTAAAAGTTTCGATTTTTCAGACTGCCATTACTGTTCTCGTGGTCGGTTCTTACGAACTCAGGTAGAGTAGGAATGGTGACTCAAGTACACTGCCGTCATCATGGCTTTCTTGTTGTGGGGTCACATTTGGAACGTGTTAACAAATACACACATAAATGTGTTACAAAATGAGCATAAAGTACTTTTCCTTTGAGCGAAAAAACTAGCCACGATAATCATTATGTTATGATTTTTTTTTCATAAAAAAAACTAATAATAAATCTAACTTACCATTGGTTCTCCTTAAGGAATCTCTCAGGGTTGTTGTTGGAGTCGATGTAGATCTTGGCCAGAGCATTGTGTGTGGCGGGCTCGTTGCTGCCCTCGTGGACGCGGGTCTCCAACCAGGGGAGGAGCAGCTTCAACCTGAAGAGGTAAAACAAACATGATATAATACGCAATTGCAACAAAAAAATATCCGGCTACGTGGGAATTGGAATAATCAACTAATGGCTTAAGAAACTCTTTACATCTTACTTTCCATCTACAATCTCCTTAGAATGACTAGGTATTAAAATTAAACTGGTGATGCATTGTCTAACGTCCAGTCCCAATAAACAGAAACTACTAATTCTAGATTTGTTTATTAGCAAATGTACACATAAAAATCTACAGGAATCGGCGATACCGTTGGTCAGTAAAATTTTATGTTCATACATACTCTCACGCCTGTTGCCCTTGTGTGTAGGCAGACTATAGAACGCCAATTGCTACGATTCTTACATACTTCTTTCACTACATTCATCAGTCACTATGTTCATCATACATATAATTTCTTTTGAACCAAAGTAACAACATTATCTCGTTACCTGTTCCTCTTCTCGACCTCAGCGACCAGCTCATCAGTGGAGAACTGTCCTCGTACGACTAGGATCAGGTTCTTGATGATATCCTCAGCACAGTCTACGTCTAGCAGACCACCTACTACCACTGGGAGACGGGATGGGTTCACCTGGTTGAAAATAATACAACAGTATGTATGCAATTTTCTTTAAGAGAAAATGTGTTGATAAAACCTTCCGTAATAAAATAAAGAAGAAACAGAGAAAATGTGATATTAATTTCAAATATCGTTCTAGTTGCGTTTGCATTTTATTTTAGTCTATATATATAAAAAGGAAACCCGTTTCCCGTTGTCACGCCATAACTTGAGAACGGCTAGACCGATTTGGCAGATTTTTTTTTTGTTGTTTTTTTATGACAAAAGAAAATCCTACGGTAACGGGTGAAAACGGAATTGCGCGTACGAAGTCGCGGGCAGAAGCTAGTAGTAAATAAAAATAATGTATGCTAGACGCTTGTTGAAATTACGAAATAATTAGCTTTTAACTGACTTCGTCATTAGCAAACTTACATTCACATACAAACTATTCCTCTGTGATTACGATGGTTGAGACAGAGCTTGAAAACTCGAAATAAAACATGGCGAATATCTAATTTCGTTTTCTAAACATAATAACTTACATTATCCAGATATACTTAAAGGGAATTCTCTTTTTTACAAGCAACTACTGTAATTTAACTTCTAAACACAGACACATTAAGGTACAAAATCCAACCAACCTTCTGCACATAGATCTCAATGTACTTCTGCAGGCTGTTTCTGTACAGATACAGTACGAGGTCGTGGACGAAGTCGAACCGGTCGCACACTATGATGAGAGGGAGCTGGTCGGGCAGCTTGGCTTCCTTCAGGAAGTTCTTCACGCGTTCAGCGTTGTAGCAGTTTGATTCGCGGCAGATGCGTTCTACTTCCTTGATCTGACCGGTCTTGCAGGCGGCCTGGAGAGGAATTAAAATGTTATTACCTATTACAGTTTTTCTAGAGGTCTTGTAAAATGTATAGAGTAAGCGCTATTCGAATAAGTGAAGAGAGAAGTTAATATACCAAAGAAACATAACATCACGCCTTTTATCCTCGAAGGGATGTAGGCAGAAGTGCACATTATGCCACTGAACAATGTAACACCCACTTTTCACTATTTATGTTATGAGTCCCATGTAATAGGGGGTGAGCCTATTCTACTGAGATTTTTTTTAAAAACCCAATAATACTTTGCCCGAACCGGGAATCGACCCCGAGACCCCTTGCCCGACAGTCGCTCTTGCGACCACTCGGCCAACGAGGAAACATGAAGGGTATATACAAAGGACGCGATCATAAAATAGTATCTACATTGTCCCACTTATGTTGGGAGTTCCCCTGCAATAGGGAGTGAGTCTATTTGTAGGAGAAAAATATTACTATAGCTAACCCGGAAATCTAACCTGGGTTCAATAGTTCACAGCCGCATATCCTATCAGTAGCTTAAAAATAAATTTCGTCAATCTACTCACGAGTGAATATCCACAGTAAGACATTGAGTCTAACTTTATAACTGACGTTTTCACATAAAAATATCAACATCTATGTCAGAAACTAACCTGAATATACTTGAAGTGGACTTCAGGATCCTGGCTGAAGTTGACAATGGATCCCAGGAAGTAGAATAGTCCTTCATACGTCTTGAAGCTCTCGAACAGCTCAATGAGGGCTTTAGTGGTAAGTTGTTCATGGTACTTTGTGGCGATTTGCACGCAGATTTGCAGATTTTGGCGAATGTTCGCTTGAAGCATCGCTTTGAGGCATTCTAAGGAATCTTCTACGGAGAGGCTTCCAAAGTAAGTCACCAGCCAGTCAGCGGGGAGGAGGTGTGTGTGAACCTGTTGAAAAATATTTTTGTTAGATGAGAGAACATTTATGATGATGATTTCAAATTAACCCGTATATCCCCAAGCAGTCACCGGTGACCACTCTCCACTAATATTACATTACATTATAGACCTTATTTCCAATGTTTAGAGATCACTTTTGTATGACCAAATTTAGGGGATGGATTTCAACGGGTTAAAGTTCAATTTTTATTACTATCAACATATCAATACTAACACGAAATTATGAAAATCAGGATAAATAAATAAATAATGCCACAACTGAAATTCAAAACTCAAAAGTCTAAAAATATAATAACATTTATTTTGTCGCTTTTTTTGACAGTACACTATTTCAATGTCATTAAAACATCTTTTCCTTGGTGTACACCACATTATACACTATTTTTATAGATACTAACACTTACTTAAGTATACAGGTCTAAAATGTAAAATATGAATTGTTTTATTTTTATGTGGCCCCTAGAAACCAGCAACACCAGATTTACAAGTGCATCGCCGGCCCTTCATTGAATAATAGATCTTAAAGTAGACTTTGAAATATGAATGTATCCTCACCACAGCCCTCTTGATGTCGTAGAGGTCGGTGTAGTGCTCGAGCGCGCGCTGCAGCAGGCCGGCCTTCTCACAGAGCTGCGCCACGTGCGCGCGGTCGTAGTGCGTGAACATCGCGTTGCCCAGGATCGCGTCCGCTACTTGGGGCGCCGACATTAGGTTCATTTCCAACAACCTGACAAAAATTAGGGATATAATCAGGTACAAATAAACTTTTAACAGATCTGTGACAAAAGTCAGGAGCAAAGCTTCAATTATAAAAATTAAAGTACTAAGACGTAACTATATTTAATTTGCGCAACCTGAAAATACTTTTGCGCAAACAAGTTTGAGTTTACTGTATCTAGCGCAGTAATTTTTAGTGAGAACTTTATAACCACGACACATCCAAAAACAACTATACAGACGAGTAGGTCTACTGAAAGTAATGACATCTTATTCAAGAAGCCACCAATTCGATACATTTATTCAATAAACTATTTTATAAGATGGCAAAAAAAGCAATTACTTATCTATCGCCCAAATACTGAAAGTCTACTTATTTTTACTTAAATATCGTGCCATCTCTGTCATTTTACAAAGAATTTGTAGCGACAGAACTATATATAAGCGTGACTTAAAGAGCCTTTCAGTATTCGGACGTCAGTAGAACTGAGAATAACATAATTATCATCAAAACTCACCTAGTCTGCAGCGGTCCTTCCTCCGGCCGGTTGTTCTTGAGAGCATCCAATAAGAAGGCAGTACATTGCTGTACCATGTTCTGTTCCATGAACACATCCACTATCTGGTTGATGTCTGCGAGGGGAGGTTCCTCGGCTACTAACATACCGGCGAAACCTGCGCCTTGCTCGGGGTTCGTTCGCATTACGGAACGAAGGAGGTAGATGTAGTCTGGGGTGTAGCCCACCTGGAAACAATAATTGTTAGCAAGTTAAAGGTTGAATAGAGTACAAGGGATAATAAGTCTTAAGTACTATTAAATTAAGGTACAAAATTGGAAGCAGGTTTTCATGTTGAAACTATTAATCAATTATTTGTAAGTATTGAAACGGAATAATTTATTATTATTATTTTATCTATTAGTACTTTAGTACTAACATAAGGCATTCTCTTGTAGATGTGATGATACTAATCAAGAATGGTGTTCAGTTTCCTAGTTTACAAATCATTGAATAACAATTTTAGACTTTACCTTCTTAGCATAAAGCACAATCTTCTGGAACTGTCCAGTCTCAGCGAAGCACTGGATGACCTTGCTGGCCACGTTAGCGCGGAGGTAGACGGACAGGGCGAGGGTGGGATCCACCTGCTTTACCAAGTCTCCGAGCTCCTCAGAGCATTCCAGTTTCTCTTCTTTCAACCATTTTTCTAGGAGCTGCTTGCGACCTTGCAGCAACACAGGACGGCAGAGCTCAAGTGACTCGAACTTGTTTAGCTGCGCTTGATCCAGCAGGATTCCGAAGTACTGCAGCAGTGGAGATGTCTGTCCGGGCTGAGTGGGGACCTGCTGGAAGCGCTGGATGGTTTGCGGGGTGCGGAGGATGCCACGGGGAGCCATCGCTGCTACCTGAAGGAGGAATGTGATGTTGAGTATTGATAAAAATTTCATTCAAATATCAAAGATGTGGATTTTTCTAGGTGGATGCTTTAGTCATATAAAGTACTTTATGTTAATAGTAGGTATTATTTATTTATTTTTTTATTTAAAAAGCTTTATGCACACAAACAAGTACATGGGTGGACTTAATACCGCAGGCATTTTCTACCAGTCTGACCCTTGGGTGATGCAGAGAAAGTAATCAGCGGGTGCAAGAACATGCTTTGAATTTAACTGTTTGAAAGAACACATATATAATTCGACAATATACACAATATATATATACTACAACACAACTATATATATATTGAAGAATACATACTATATAACTATAATATGTATATATATATACACACATAGATACATACATACATATATACATAAAATACATAAGGTATAGTCAGTGTGATGAAGCAGCCAACCTCGTCAGGAGAAGCTCACGAACCTTCTGCTTGAAAGTTAAACGACTTTTCACCATTCTGATATCCTGGGGGAGCGCATTCCACAAAAAAATAGCTTGTACGAAAAAGGAAGAATGAAGGAAGTCAGTACGGTGAGTAGGACATTGGAGAAGTCGATTATGAGAAGAGCGAAGATTTTTATTGTGGTTTGCGCATATGTATTGGAAGTAAGGGGATAGATAATTCGGGGAAGAAGGCGAGTCTAAAAAGGAGAATAGAGTGGTTAGCGCCCTTTGCTCCCTGCGTTGGCGTATGGGCAACCACTTTAATTGCAACCGATGTGCAGACACATGATCATATTTACGCAGATTGAACACGAATCGAATGCAGTTATTTAAAAGTCGGTCAAGTTTATTGAGAAGATCTGCATTCAGGTCGAAGTAACACACGTCAGCATAGTCAATAATAGGAAAAACCAAGGCCTGCACCAGCATAGCCTTTGTAGCGGAAGGAAGCAAATTCTTTAATTTATATAGTGCCCCCAGGGATCCGGTGACCCTCTTACATACACTAACGACCTGTGCATGCCACCTTAAGTTAGTATCTATGCACAGCCCCAGATCCTTAACGTCATTACTGAGAGGGATAACGGCATTGTTAAAGATGACCGTTGGTAAATTAGCCTTGTTAATCCCGCTCAGCGCACGTGTGCTACCTATAATTATTGCTTGGCATTTAAGAGGATTTACTGCTATGCCAAACCTTTCAGACCAATTATTAATGGCTGCCAAGTCATCATTAACCCTCAAAATAGCATCAGACAGCCTTTCGACACCAGCCTGACAGTACAGCTGCAAGTCATCGGCATACAGATGGTACGCACACCGAAGTTCAGAAGTTATGAGATTTATAAAGATGGAAAATAAAAGAGGAGATAGAATACCGCCTTGAGGAACGCCAGCTTTTAATTCGCACCAGTTTGATGATACATCATCCAGCTTGACCGACTGCTGACGCTCCTGAAGATATGAAGAGAACCATTCCAGTGATGTTCCAGAGATCGTAAGATGGGATAGGATGGCTAAAAGGATATCGTGACTGACCATATTGACTGAATATATTGCGTAATAATGTAATCGTACATAATGTCCCGTCTTTTAAACTATAAAAAATTGTTAGGACATTCCTATAATCAATAACAGAGGGAGAAACAAGAAACAGTTAAAGAGTATCATCCTTGACAATAACCCGTAACTCAGTGAGCCGTGGAACTGAGTGTGTACTCGACATCCTTATTCTTGCAATTAATTATTCATTAAAACATGTAAGTGTAGTCACGCGTCGACAACCCTACAGGTAAGGGTACGTACTGAGTGATAGCGGGTCGCGTATGAATAAGATACTCGACGGATAATTCTAGTTGATCTTTCTTTTAGTAATATAATTTAAAGTCTTGTCTGTAAGGTCACTAACACTTGCTACATGAAGAGTTTTTCAGTCTCGACATACAATTCTATCTTTTGCCTACAGATCTAAACGAGCTCACAAATCATAATAAATTAATATGTATTGCAATTGTTACAAATATTTACTTCATTGTACAAACAGCAAGGGGAAGCTAAGAAGAAGCGCCCCTATATACAATCCGCTATCCGCTATCACTAAAGACTCATGCATATAGTAGTATGGGGTGTTATGCGATGCGTGAACCGAGCCGGTGTCACAATAGACAGGTGGCAATGACGTCACGTTATTGATTGTAAACCACAGGCTCGAGTTTGTTATGGTGTATGTAACCGTTTAATTGTTACATATTAGATAGGATTTGTAAGAAAACTGGTAAAGTGGTTGTTTAATAACCTCCTCCTTTTTGGGAAGCCGGTTAAAAAAGGGGCGTTTGTACTATGTATGTCTAATATTCTATCTATAGTTTAACTAATATTTTTTAGTAAAGGTTCGTTAACAAACTGATGACTCAAACAATTATCGTGTAGGTATAATTTTCTTACTGGCACTAGTAGTCCCAAGAAAAATCTACTGACGTAAACATTTTTATGTGAAAACATGTTCCAAGACCTAGAATTTTCAAAAATAGACTTTCTATTTTTGAAATTTCCCTACCCGGACAATACGTGATGTGTATGAAAGTGCCACGTCACCGCATCGACCGCTTACTGTAGCGCAATTACCGGTGTGGTAGGGATCGTTATATTACTCATCGCATATTAAAGTAAAATAGATAGTTACTGTGAATCAATGTAGAGTTTATACGTTATTTTAACAACGTTTAACTAAGTCAGATATTGTTGCAAGACATTTTAAAATTTTATGTGCAGTTCAGAATATCTAGATAAATTATTATTAATATCTAAATAATTCCTAAATTAAACTAAAAACTACATTTTTATTGAATCTGCAGATTTTTTTCTGCTTCCACTGCTGAGCAAAGCCTCTTATCACACGGAGAAGGTTTGAGCATTAATCGCTTACTCAATGCAGGTTGGCGATTACAAACTTATAATTAGAAATTATAAGCCCAGGTTTCCTCACGATGTTACCCTTCACCTTCAGTGGTGTCTAGATAATCTTAGAAAGTCGGAAAAAGTCACATTGGTGCTTGCCGTTGGTAGGTTTTGAACCCGCATCCTCATCCATGAGACGAGGGCGTATTAAACCTCTGGGCCACCACGACCTTTTGTTTATGTTCTGATATTTAATGTTTCTATATTGTAAAGAACATACCGTGATTATGTACAAACGGAGGCAAAAATAAATAAAAGACTTACGCCCGAATACTGAAAGCGCGCTGAAGTATAGTTCTGTCACTATAAATGATTTGTAAAATGAAAGAGATGGCACGATATGGCAGTAGTATTGAGACATGAACATGTATCCATCAGTATCTACTGAAGTACTGATAGAATAACATGTCACTTGTTTTTAACTCTTACTATCCTTACTAATATTATAAATCGGAAAGTGAGTTTGTTTGTTGGATCCGCTTTCACGCCATAATTACTAAACCGATTGCTTTGAATTTTTGCAGATGTATAGTTAGAAGTCCGGATTAAATAATAGGGTACTTTTATCCCGGAAAAATTTGATATGTCCGAGGGAAAACAAAAGTATTGGTATAGATGGCGCTGTGTGTATTGGTATATGTCACATTGGCTTTTTATCCTTTTGTGACGCGAGCGAAGCCGCGGGTAAAAGCTAGTCTAGAAACAAAGTGTGTTCTTCGTTTCTTTCTTTCTATTAGGGCGTAATTGCTCAACAGAGATCTTATTTGACGTATTGTATTAGTGTTCACGCTAAAACATTACAGTTACAAAGAATCAATACCACGTCCTGAACTTGACTTCCTTTCCTCTACCTTTTAAAACCAATATAATTAAGTACATTACGGTAGTACAGTAAGGTAGACAGGTAGTCAAATTCAATAATTTTATTTAAATGTCAAAAACGATACTTTTCTATGAATTTTGTATTGGATCGCAACTTATGACGTCATCATATTTCTGCGTCAAATACCATACTTATTTTCTTAAAATTAGCGAGAAAAAAACAAAAAGTAGGTAAATTGTCAAATCAATGGATGAGAGTATAATTATTTTTAAATTATTTATTGCATTGAAAAGTTGAAACCATTTATTTTAAACCTAGAAAACTAGCCTATTCTAGAACATTCTACATACCTTAGCAGCCTCTCCGTACTGTCCGTTGGTAAAGAGCATGTTGAACTTTCTAACGAACAGTTCCTCAGCCCCCGCGAGGTTGTTGCGAACAGCTAAACGCAGTGCGAGTTCAGGGTTCTGGAGCACCGTGTTAATGTAGGGCACAATGGAGTCTTCTTCTACTGTTACTGATAGTACTTGGCCTTTGCGGTTTACGCCTGAAATAGAGAGATTGTATTGTAGTTAAGGATCTGATCAGGAAGCTGGGATGCAGGTCGCTTCCAACCGGCCTATCTGGTAGTCACTGGGGGAGGCCTATGTTCAGCAGTGGACGTCCTGTGGCTGATATGATGATGATGATGATGATGAAGGATCTAAGGATTACAACTGCGTTGCGGAGGGACGATGGGCTCCGGTAACTAAATACAAGGCGAAATAAAACGGTCGCCTTGTTTCACGCCAGTTTTGTATGGGGCTGTGGAAAGGAAACACTCCGGTTGAGCTATTGAGTATGCGGCGAATTTGCAGTCTCTTTCCAAAATTTATCGCTGTACCATGTAACCGTAATATTAAAAACATTAATCGAGTAATCATATTTAATTATCTGATACGACACACAAACAAATCATTAAACATTTCCCATAGACACATGACTCATACATGATGATCATGAATCAGTGATCGCATATTAACATAACATAATATATTGTAAATAAACATAGTTATTGTATTAACATTACCATGTTATTTCCAGTTATGTTATGATACTAACCACGATGCCAGACTGTGAAACCTGCGATAACCTCATGGCATGCGACCTTATTAAATGTTTCCTTCTGTGTCTAAGTGGTTACTGTTATTATTATAATCTTAGAATAATTTAGATTGGTGTCAGTCAATAGTGAAATTGCTGTGATAATATTTTGACAAATTTAAACAAAGGGATTCTGCCCAAGACTTCATAAGATAAATAGCTTATAAGATAAATAGCTTATGAAGTCTTTTAGGCAGTATTTGTTCGGCACTCTGATTGGCAGGCTCCATAGAACCAACCAATCAGAGTGCCGAACGCGGTCTCGTTCCGATTACTATAAACGTAAAACAAACTCCTCGTACTAAGTACTCTGAATGAGGTGTGGCGATCCATTTCTTACGTGACAGTAATGTATGCAATTGTTAAAAGTAGGGTTCGGCGGCCATAATGACTTTCGTAATATTGATAAAAAATTATCAAGGAACGGTAACAATATATCCGATAGACAAATCAAACGATAAATTCTCAGCACTAACTTTATCCCCAATTATGAACCTAACCACTTAGACAATAAACCACAAATCAAAAAGGCAAACTCACCAATAATTCCACCAGTGGCTTCATGGGGAGCGGTCACAAAGATGGTATCAGAAGAGATCCTGTTCATGTAGATACAGGTACCAGTTTCAATGTCGTACATGTGAATGTAGCCGTATTTCGTGATGAGGTAAATGACGTCATATTTCGGGGACACCTGCATGGCGACGGGGAAGTCGTTCTGGGCCTCGGCTGGGAAGAACACGTCCACTGCTTTCTTGAGGAATGGCTGGTTCCCTGCTGGTGTTTGGCCCACCTCTGTTCAAAGAATAGAGATTGTTAGTTTGTTGTTATTGTTAAGCTTCGTATGTAGAGGGTAACACATAATTTACAAGTAAACTGCCATTAGGTGTTGGAATCGTCTTACGTGCTAAGGATATAGTACTTTGGTATTCAAAAAGTTTTTATTTTGAAGTAACATAAAAAATAAACCCCATTTTTATGTTGCTTCAGAATGTCTGAACTTTGCGCTAAAACTTCAGTATGGACTATAATTTTATTGATTATCATACATAAGCGTAAGCACTATACATATGCACACAAACTTTACACTTTATGTTATGAATTACTGCAACCATTTAAAACAAATATAGAAGATCCAACAGTCAAACTATTAACATATTGTTCTGTTGGATATGGCGTTAGATTGTAAAGCATATCATATACCTTTATCATTAAATAAACAAATAAAAAAATAAATAAAATAATAATAATAGTAAAGCTGTGTGTCTTTGCTAGAGAATTTTTTGAATTTCAAAATCTTTTTATTCTTATACACGTTCTAGATCAAACATAATCGCGATCAGAACGATGAACAAAAATAATCACGGGATACAAATCAAATTAAACATACATAATACATATTACGTACATAAATGCATGATGGTAGTTTGTAGGTCAAGAACGTTCACTCTAGAGTACAACTGTTTACTTATTTATTCATCAAGTCATCAATATAATACTACTGTAAGATCCTATACCTGTGTGGATGACGTCATCATTTTATTTCGATGTTTACTTAGATATAAGATAGAACAAGAACTATAAAACTTTGTTTTAAGGAGTCGTTGACTTGAATATACGACGTAACTGAAAAGACGAAATTACACTATCGCCATAAAAATACGTTTTATGATTTTCTACCAATCATATTTTTAGTTTACACTCTTCAAGTATTGTGTCCTTATTTATTTTATCTTTTAAAGTAAAGCATGATTAATCGTATTACCACTTCATAACTGATAATCTGATGACAAACAATCCTGTAATTTTTTACTTTGTCCACGCCCAGTTTATGAGCCCGTAAAGTCAAAATTACAAAAAGGAATTCAAAATTACTGAGCCTCAGTTACCAAATCAATCAATTTGTTTTTAAAATCGTTCTGAGTGTCTCTCTGATCAACTCAATAATAATAATAATGTTAGTTTTACCCCGTAACCGACGAGCATGTATGAAAAGACAAAAATCGTAGCAATTAGCGTTTCATAGTCTCTGCCTACCCCCATGGGAGACAGGCGTGACGTTATATGTATGTTTATTTACTTTCGCAATACAAAGTAGTACTCACCAATAATATGCAGTTTGCCTCCCTGGGCGGTTCTGACGGCGAAACAGAAGAGGGTTGAGGGTTCCGCGTTACCCTCAGCTTTGAAGGTCGCGAAGGAGGCGGCGTGGCCTTCGATCGGCTGTGAGCACTTGCGCTCTACTGAATAGAGCTGCATCGCGCCAACCACACGGTTCTGCTGGGCTGAGATACCTGGAAACAAATATTATGAACATTAAACATTGAATAACTAGTATTTTTTATCCTTATTTTATAAGTAGGGCTTTTCTCCTAACAGAAAAACAACTACAATATGTACAGCATAGAAGTTCATAAAAAAATCCTTGCAGGTTTGGACGGACCTTAACATGTGCACTTTAGAAATACTTAATCAAGAAATAACATACAATTACAAAAAAACTACTCACCAACTAGCAGCAGCCACTGTTGTTTCGGATCGGTCCTGTAGTTGATGATCTGGCAGTCAGCAAGAGACGCATGCCTGTCAAACATCTTTACGGGAGTGGAATCTCCCTCCATGGACCAATGGTACACCGACATCTTGGTGACCAGAGCGAGGGTGTTCAGGGAGATCCACTTCCAAAAGACGATGTCTTCGGTCATCGTGTGAGCCTTCATCTTCGATTTCATCTCGATGTTGAATATTTGCAGGGTCTTTTGAGCTGCTGGCAAAGTTAAAACGGATAATTAGTTTTGTTGCCTAATGGTAAGGCGACTGATGTAGGTAATGGTAGGATGAAATGAGTTGGATGAATCTTAGATTACCTTTAAGTATCGAATTTCAGTTCAATAACACTGAAATGTAAACTATAACCAGAAAAAGAAAGAAAAACCATTTATTGCGCCACGACACACAACAAGAACACAGGTACACACAAAAAGCCTATGGTGCGTCGCAGCGCAAAAGGCTGGAGCTCAGCTTAACATTGTGGGCCTTTTTAATACTTTTTTCGGTAAATTTTCTTTTGTAAAGAGAGGCTACATTCCTGAATGTAGTCCCCAACTCCAGATTAGAAAAGCAAAGGATTAACGTCAGATTATTTTTACTTAAAATTACTTAACACCATACGTACTTCATCCGATTATGACGAAGCCAAAAATATGTTTTGGGTATAGAAGGCAGTAAAAGTATTTCGTAATTTAACCCCAAAGTTCATAAATGAGGGGTCCAGTTTCAATTTGAACGATGGCAAACACCGTTAAAAGAATGGATTACAGATTATAAAATTATAAGAGACGTATTACGCGCATACTTAGATAACTCTTAAAAAGGGTCAAGTTACCGAATCGTAGAAGTTACTCATCTCCGTACAAACTCCGAGATGCGGCGAAGATTAGCATTAGGGGCCAAGTATCGATTCTAGGGCCATTAGCTGAAGTACTGACCTCCATTAATTAGTGCTCATTAGGTGCTCAGGCTACTAACCCGTAGGTAGAGCATCTAGATATACCTGCGTTGTAATAGTGTAACGCAAGTTCTTATTGTATAGGAACTACAATATTAACTAGGTAGCCACATATTTCCAGATGCTTTTACCATTAATGTAGCCAGTAGTAGTATAGTTTAGTAGTATAAGCCTTTCTTAAGGAAAATTAATTAATCAATACCACAATTACCGTCAAAATAAAATACTCTTTAATCAGTTATTTAAGACTTAACATTACCCCAATAGGGTTGTAGACTAAATTTTGTTTTAATGTCCGTCTGGTCTTTATCTACCAGACACGTACCTTTTCATGTCTTATAAAATTAAATACTTTCGACGACATATTCTTTTAAAAATATCGTGTGACGTCATGATGTACTACATTTTATAGGGTAGCGTGATGTAACGACCTCCCACTCCTAAAAAGTACTCCTATACTCCGTTTTAGCTAAGTATTGTTTTCTTAACGACAAATCATTAAATCATTAAATCAAATTTATTTGCAAAAACATGTGTATACATACACACACACGCAGGTGCATGTATGTAGGATGATAAAATAAAAAAAATATTCGTCTAATATCTTATCTAACAGACGGACTGGTTACATTTTTAATTTTCGTACACTGTCTACTACCCTATTTAGATTCTATGCTAATACCTTGCGTTTGATTTAAGCTTCTCATCTGAGGGGTAGATGATAAAAATCACTGAGTACCACCCACTACGATCCTTAGACACGTCCTCGCGTCCTTGTATGCAACAAGACTATACCACAATCTAGTGTTCAAAAAACCGATACTAAAAGCCTAGACTTCATTCAAGACCTCCTGTTCTATCGGTTTTTGCCAAAGCCAATCGCTAAGTATCCTGTATAATAGCTAGCAGGATAACCTACACAAATACGTTATAATCTCTAATAGATTTCCAACCTTATTAAGCAGGAATAAAGTTGAAAACGGGTCAAAGTATTTAGGGTACGTTGATGTGCCGTTGTCTAGCTACGTGTTATAAGGAGGGGGCGTTGTGTGGGCGTATAGGGCACACCTAAGAGCTTTCAACCCACTTCAGCTCCAAGTAACGACTTTACGAGTACATATATTCAAACTTCAAGGAATTTTGTTGAACGAGTGGAGCCAGGAATAGAATTTTTATTTCATTTTGTTTGTTATTTACTTAGAGAAGGAAATCATGTTTTATGTAATATTGAAATAGCATTTCGATTGTCCCAGTTCAGAGTTATGAACTAGAACGTAGGCGAAAAATCGGTTCAATTTGAAATGGTAGCAGCTATCAGATTTCGATTAAATAATATTCTGTAATGTTACCTAAACTAAATTTGATTACGTTGACATTCAAGCTACTAAAATACTATTACTGCCTCATTTGCCGAGTGGTCACAATTTGGGATTCGATTCCCGGGTCGGGCAGAGTATTACTGGTTTTTTTAAATCTCAGTAGTAGCACGGAGTCTGGAAATGTGCCCGGTGTATGGCAATAGGCTCACCCCCTATTACATGGGACTCGTAATATAAATAGTGAAAAGTGAATGTTACATTGTAAAGTAGCATTAAGTGCCGTAATTTGCACCTCTGCATACCCCTTCGGTGATAAAAGGCGTGATATTATGTTATGTTAAAATACAATTCAGTGTTAAGTTTCTTCTATGTGGACATTCATAGCTACAATACAAATAAGTACTTTATCCAAAAGGATCACCATTCAAGAGTAAATTTTAACTTTAGCTATAAAATCATAGCAACATAAACCACACTACTTATTTAGACATAAGACGCTAAACTCTATACAAACAAAGATGTCTGTACAATAGATAAAAAATACACACCATAGCTCACACATAGATTATGTACATTATCGTAATATATGTACAAGTCAATTCGGTCATTTAGTGAGTCATTCTGACGCCCCTACAAAGTAACAACGTCACGATTTTATCTTAAAATCCTTTCTCTACTGTATGCAAGGCGATCACAGACCAGATTAATCGCAGAAGAACAACTGCCATTAATCTTACGCAGACCTTATAGAGAAGAGAGATAGACAGAAGAAGAAAGACGAATTTTGATGGTGTTTGAAAAGAACAGAAGTTGTGGCAAGTAGTAAATTTATAAATCGAAAAGTCTCCAATAATGCTTTGCCGGACCTGGGCAATTGAGTATTTTCCAGAGTATTAAAATTAAAAAACTAATTACTCCGTCAGTTAGATAATGAAAAAATATTAGACACGTATTTTTTTATTTTCTCGTATTAAGTTGCAATACTTAGATAAATTGGCGCTAAGTTTATGAGTGGGAGGTTGTTACGTCATAACGTGCTAAAAAATGTGGCACGCTGTGACGTCACATGATATTTCAAATTAATATATCGTCGAAAGTATTTAATTTTGTGAGAAAAGAAAAAATACGTGTCTAAAGTTTTAAATGAATGTACCAGACTGACATTAAAATAAAATTTAGGAAACTTGCCCATTGAACCTGAGACCATTCACATAAATAACCGAAATTATCCAAAACATCTAGATCGATTTAAAGAAGCTTATTAATATCCACCGTTAGTCATCACCGCTGCTTGCGAGTACTCGCCTCACGAACCATTCAAGAAACAATCAACAAGCCTATACCAGTACAAATCACAAATATAAATGTTTAATAATAATCAAATAGAATATAGAATACATTGTAATTTATACGAAATACCTGCCACTTTAAGTTCATTGGGTACTTATAATAAAGGTGGTAGAACTACTGAACTCACACATAATATGGCAAAGCGGTTGCAGTTTGACATTAAACGCTCCAGATAGTATCGTGTTACGGGGTTCGAGCCGGTAAATTGCGCACGCAAGTTCCGTACGCCATTTACGTAACACAAGACAATGACTTAGTGTAACGCTATAAAGGCGGAAATTCATTCAAAATACTGGATTTACTGAGAAAATCACGAGTTTGAGTAATTCAATATATAAGATGTAGATAAATGTGTAAAGAACATCCTTATTGATATTTTTCATCATCATCCGATCCAACCATATCGATTCACTGCTGAATATAGGCCAGTTTAGGGTGCCTCTCATCTATAGTTTCTAGATAACGTGACGATATCCGCATAAATGTGAAGCTGGCAATAGTTGCAGAGTATCTTTACCATAAGTATACCATTTGTCACAGGTTTTATGTGAGAGACATAGAGAAGTGTTGAGGCACCCCCACGACTAGAACGTAAAAGATAATCCTTAGCGTGGGGTGCCAGTACCACACCAGAGATTTTCTGCATTTCTAAAGAAAATAAAATGGAAGACAAGCTTAGATTGTACAAGGCACAAAAGCCAAATCTACTGAGAATAAAAACTCTTTTAATAAGTACTTTTCTAGTAACAAAGTTCTAAGCCAGAAATCCAAGATCGGCGGTCGCGATCTGAACCCCATTGGACTAAACTAGTTCAATAATTCAATAAAAGGTCAACGGCCTCCATTGATTTAAAAAGGTCGTGAGAATGTGTTTATTATGCGCGGAGCATTGTTCAATATTTAAGAAGATATGATATGGGGAACAGGCTGGTACTTTATGAATCGACTCCCGTGTACTTTAAGAAGCATTTTGTACCTGATATTGTGGTATGTTGTTTAGAGAACGTCGAAAGTCTAGAACAATAAAAGGAGATCCTACAGTTGTCTGGCACAAATCCAGAATCGAAACAAAAATAACTTTCATATAAATAAAAATCAAGATAAAATAACTTAAAACACTTATAGACAGACAAAACACAAACTTTCTTTTATAACTTTAATAAGCATTCCACTTTAAATCACCACAGAAAAAATAAAATCATGTAAAAGATATCCATAGATCACACGCATGAATTCTAAAGGGTCACAATAGACGAGAGTGCAAGTATATGATAGCATAAAGCAGACTATAGGGAACAAATTAAGGCCAGCATTATAAGGCGACGATGACAAACACATTCTGTGCCGCATCACCATAATAAGGTCAGAACCATAAGTCAAAATGGTATAATGGTGTCAGTAGAGAACTAGATATCTTAGTTATCTAGAACAAATACAAATCTACAATATAATAATCCCCAAAAAGGAGCAGACATAATAGTCATCTTCAGTATACTGAGCTAGCTATAAGACATCTGAATTTCAACGATGAAATAACGATTTCTAGACGAGATGAACTCATCAGTGACTCGTATTTGAATATTATTAAGT